GCTCTCCTAAACACAGTGTCAACTTTGGCAACTAGATGAACTGATTAAAGTAAGGAGGATGCCAGTCTCTTAGTTCTAGCAGGTAGTCCAGGATAACTGCAAATGAATTTGAAGGGCAGAAACAGATCTGTGGGAACACCAGATCAAGAACACTGTTCACGCCATGGAAGTGCATCTCAAAATCTTCCCAGCTACTGATAAGAGTTTCTTCACAGAGAATGAACAAGAGTCATCTCACATCCATAAAGTGACAGGGATCGTAATAAATTCAAGGTGATTCAAGCATCAAGTGTTAGGGTCTGCAAGGAGTAGTGGAGACTGCCAGGCTGACAGTCACTGACACAGGAAGGCATTACCAATACCATTATAGCCACAATTAAGCCAAAACAATTGAGAGCATTAACACTTACTGTCCTACTTTGACCAAGAGGCTAAGAACCTTAAGAAAAAGAATAAGGCAAGATTAGTCCACCTGATTGCAGAACCATCCAAAAAAGCACTAGGGCAACATCCAGAGAACCACATTCAGTTGCTGACAAAAAACAGGACCTTAGGCTAGAGGGACATTTGGTTTGAGCCAGAATACAGACTCTTACATACCCAAGCTCAACAGCTGAAAACCAAGGTAGATTTTCCCCTTCTTGTTCTAGCAAGGTGACACAAATCAGGACAGCCATCACAAAAAAAAAGGGGGGGGGGGGAAACTTGTTGGAAGACAAGTTTTTGATGGATGTGTTTCTCAGTATATGAGTTCTGGAAGACTATCATTTAATGGCTGAGAAAATGGGACCTTACACTCCTTTGGTGGTTGATGGCATGGCTGCTGGTACTGTTCACCAGGTACTCTAATAAAATGGAATGGCAGAAGTTAGAAATCAGAAATAGGCAGAGTCCTGGATGCAAGCAGCCCTTCTGAGAAAGGCCACAAGTTCTTCTCGGGAGTACAGAGGAAGGAGAGAAATAAGTGAAGTTACTATCCAGGAGCATACATTTGCACAAAAAAAAAAAAAAGAAGAAGAATTTGGTAATTTACTACATGCAGCTCTGAAGAGACTTAAGAGTACAAGCTCTCACTCACAACTTTGAGATTGCTGGGATTTTTCATCTGCCTTGTCTTACACTGCAGCCTAGCATTGCAGTGCCACCTGACAAAGGAAATGGATGCCTAACAGGGATTTCTGGCTGAAACATGGCATTTCCAGTCAAATTTCACATCTATAGAAAAAAGGGAGTGCAGGTGAGCACCAGAAGGCCTCAGAAGATTTGATAACAGCTTCACTGTTAAGGAAGGCTGTCACTTCATGATGCAAGATCGCAAAAGACCCAAGGACAGGCTCAGACAGTTCTTTCAGAAGGAAATCATGGAGAACTTTTTCTTTTTTCTTTTTTTTTGTTTTTTAAAGATGCCTTGAAATAATACCTAGTCACCACTGTCCATGGTGTGAAATGGGTAATCCCTGAAAACAAAAAACGCCCACACCACTGACTGGCTGTCATTGACAGATGGCATCAAGCTTTGACATCAGAGAACTAACACCTAGGCAGGGACCACTGAAGGAAGAAGCAGCTCAAACGGTGTTACAATTACGTGCTCAGCAAAGTGCTAACTATAAAGCATTCCCTCTTGATTACACAACTGAAAGGAATCAAAACAAGCTCAGATACAGAAATTGCAAAGGTAAAGTAATTTAGCAGATTTGAGTGACAGGCAGTACGTACACAAGGACTACTCATCTCAAAGGTAGAATAAAAAAATTAAACTTTTGTTTCAGAGGCAAACTAGGTCCCATAGTTCCTCATTCTATAAGATCTTAAAATGTCAGAATCACATAGAATTGCTCAGTGATAATATACTAAAAAAAAAAGAGATGTCTGAACAGGTAAAATTTGCTGATAACTCAGACTAAAATACACAATTATTTTGGAAACAGCTAAGCTAAATTTCTTATGTTTTTTATGACTAACACCCACAAACAGTAACTCTAGCCCTCTCTTTGTGTCCAAGATGCTTTCCATTGCAGTCAGGACACATCCACAAAGCCCCCACGCACACTGTCTCCATATCGCCCCAATCAAAACTTTCAAGTTGATATTTCTCTTAATCCTTCTCTCGGTATGCTTTGCATGTTCGGCCTCCCAGCTGGGCAAGAGATTGTACATGCTGCTGCTGCCGCCTTGGACCTCCATTTATGCCGATTGTTGAGCTAGTACAAATGTCCTGACCAGCAAACTGATTGATGCCTCTCAGCTGCTGAGCAAGTCAAGCAGACAGATGAGGGCTGAATCCTCCTTGCCTTTCTTTCTAGGGGAGATAGTAACAGGGTCTTTCTCCTCTACTTAGATGCTGACTTACACAAAACCCATAGGAATATATGGCCTCTGACATCTCTACATCTCAAATGCAGCTGCAACTGGTTAATGGGTTCAAAAGTTATTAGACTGGGAGCTGAAACTGAAATATAGGCAGCATGATCTGATAGCCCTTGCTTTCCTGAGAAACTGGGCTAAAAAAAAATACTACCTGTAACATAGTAAGGCCATTTGGCACTCTATCTTCTTCTTTATTAAAAGTATCACATACAAACTTGTACTAAGATTTGGCTAAACACCAACAAACTCAAATGGATTCCAAAGACTCAAAACACAAAATAATACTGAAGTTGCTGCTTCAGGAAAATCCACTTCAAATTGTGAAAAAATGTTGATTTTCGGCTTTGAGACCTTTTTTATTCCTTTGGTATGATCTTTCATACAACCACATGCTCCATCAAAAACAAAATTTTTTTTTTTAAATCATACCTTGAATTAAGGTTGGATGAGACTATAGGAGGGATTGTGTATGCACGGCAGGAGGAAGGGAAAGGAATAAGGATGAAGTGATACAGCAGCATAGCCACATCCCTATTTTGAGAACCCAGACAGCTTACAGCAGTGCAGAAAAAGAACTGCTGAGAAGCCAGGGGCGCCCTCCAGTAAAATTTGCCACTAATCTGTAGAGGTAACGCAGCATTGATGAAAATGCATTTGAATACGTGCGCGTATGAAATACATACTTGGCTGTAAAAGCTGCGGATCCATCAGTCTGAATAGCACCCATATAAGAAGCAGTCTTTTATCTAGAGATCCCGAGCTGCCCTTAGCATGAGACATTTGCTGTTTCTGCGATGGGACTTACCCAAATATAGACACGGGAGGTGATTTTGCATTGCAATTTCTTGAGCACGTAAATGTTTCTTAACAGTGATGGGATAATAGGTACCACCTTTGACAGTTGCATCATTAGCAACAATCAAGCATTCCACCCTAAAAATAAAACAAGTTTATGACAGAGAAATATATTCTAATAAACAAACATGATTGTTGCTTAAAAAATTCAACAAACCTAGGACCCTTGAAGCCTTTGAGATGCTGAAAGAAAAAGCCCTCCTCACCTGCATTCCCTCAAAAACAAGTTATTACAGCAGCCTGAGCACTATGACGTCCTGTTTCACAGTCCCTTAATTCCCTAAAGTAATGCTGTATAACACCATATCTAATTTTGACATTAGTCTTGGTGGAACTTTCAGCAAGCAAACCTAATTCTTAGTCTAGTATATCACCTTATCTTCTGAAAATTATTTTACCGATGCACCAATCTCCTTCCTTCATCAGACCACAGAACCTCTATGTATGTTAATAGAGATGCTCTGCTTAAATATGGGACACATTAATTAACAAAAAAGAAAAGAAAACAGAACTATCACTTCTTCTTAGCTAAAACTAAATTAAGATAGCAACTTCATTCTTTTTTTAGGTCTCAGAAGCGAAATACTAAAAAGACTAACAGCTTAATACTGGAAACTAGATAGAATTATACCTTCTTCCTTTTCCTATCATCAAAAATGTAGATCACTGGTATCTCTCACCCAGATATTCGTCCAATCCCTGTGATAATGCCTCCTGCTGGTACCTCTTCCTTACCATACAACTGGTAACCTGCAAACTGGGAGAACTCCAAGAATGGAGACCTGAATAACGAGAAATATCTTGACAGGATTTTAATAAGGACTCAGCCTTGTATTTGCCTGCTACTGAATCTCACATCTCAAAAACAAACCATTAAAAAAAAAAAAAAAGAGAGAGATGAGCATTTCAAACAACACATCTGTAAAATTTCAGCTGGTGTTACTTGCCAGTGTTTATGGAAACTAAAGAGAAAACAAGACTGTTACATTACTTACATGCAAAAGAGAATCTGAAGTGTTATTTAAAAAGAAAGTACCCACCCCGGATCAATAAGCCTGTCAATTCTCTCTCTGGGTAACAGCTTTCCTCTTGATGTGTGAAGCTTACGGGCTTTTTCTCCACCCCCTGTGATACAAGAGTAATTCATTAGATTTACTGTGAACATAGATAAATAAATCATGTATATTAAAACTTAGAAGGGAAACACTGATGACTTCCCAGTTACTGAAGTATGGACCTTAATACTACATTTAATAAATAACGGTTTTCACTTCAAACAGATTTAAGATATTGACGTAAAAGCTCATTTTTCAGAATCTACTCTATTTTTTCCCCTCATTCATTATAGCTAATCTTGAAGTAACGATTCTAATAAATACAGTTGTCTGAAACTATCCCCCACTTTTTGTCAGCGAACAGAGCAGCTGAAAACAAGAACATACATGGGGGAAAGCACAATAATGAGAACTACAAAGCACGCTTTCCTCAAAATTGGTTCAAAAGAGCTATGTTGAATCCAAACCTGAAAGATCCAGCATGATCAGGATTCACTTCCTTAAATTACTCTAAAGCTGTAAGCATCACAGTTAGGATATACAGCATTTAATATCAAGGTTATATTTATCTTTGCTTCAGTTCAACCCTTTATTCAAGGCAATCCTATATCCTATCTTTTGCTCTCTAGAGTTTTGTGTTATTCAATACTTAAGATTTGTTGACACCTCTTGGCCTCTTAATGACAACAGCTTACACAAACAGTGTCTCTATACATAGACAGATCACTGAACCACCTTTTCACTTTCAAATCGTCTCCATTGTCCAAAATAAAGAAGGTGCTACTTTGCTAACATTTCTCCTGGGACTTCTAGATTTCCTTGTAAGCTAAGCATTTCTAAAACAGCTTTTAAGCTTTCCTTTCAAGCCCAACTCTTACCCCCTTCCTTGATCACTGTGTTCATCACCACCATTTTGCATGTGTTAAGACAGGCCAGAAAGTTGGCAGTTTATTTTTGATGCAGCCTGTTCATTAGGTCTGTATAACCAGCCTCAGTCTAAATCTTGCAAATTCTGTCTGTACAAGTTTCTTAAGACACAGCCTCTCATATCCACCCACAGAACTATCACTCTGATCCAAGTTCTCAACATCACACATCATGATTACTACATCATTTTCTCTGACCTTGGCATATACTGTCTTGCCCTCATCATTTACACTTGGAGTGCTCCTGCAAGAATCATTTTCTGTCCTGTAATTTTTGTCATCTCTCTGCATCCCCCTTCTTCACACACTAATCAAATTCCTTGCCCTCCAGGCCCTATAACCATTCGATGAGACGTTTCTCTTTCAAGACTGAGAAGTTCACTCTGCCCTAGACCAGCCCCCATTCTGGCCACTGTGAGCAGCAGCCTCCCTACCAGTGAAATAGACTTGGAGGTGTTTAATGTGAAACCTCCTCTCCAATTTCTCTTCTACAACAACATCTACAAAAACTTGACTGTGACTGCTGATACGCTGTGATTACTGCTAATCATGAAGACTAGCAGTATCTCAGCTGTTTCTTGTGCTTGTCATCAGTAATGCATCTGTTGTCATTTATTACAGACTGCAAATTTTTGGGGGGGAGGGGCAGGGACCTGTTGTGCCATGGTAGATTGGATTTAGATCCAATAAATAGCAATATTATGGACATATTTCTTAGTTTTTTGTTAAACCTGAGTTATCAGAAAAACTACATTTTGAACCAAATTAACTTGAACATATACCCTTTAAGATTTTCAGCTGATGAAAGATATCAGATCTAGATTCAAACGGATTAGCAAAAAATTTTGTTTGTCTACTATAATCCAGCTTATGTTGTAACTGAATGAACTGTTTAGACAGCTATAAGAAAAAAGAAAAGAAGTACTATTTTGGGACTAGTTTACAGAAATGTTCTAAAAACTGGACCATCATACTCACCTAATTTTATTTTTTCTGCTTGCTCTTGGAGTTCAGTTACTAGTGCTTTCATTCGCTCATAGTTTTCCTAAGCAGGGGGGAAAAAAGTTTCAATTTTAATCCAATAACATTATGCTGTTTTAATAAAAAAAAAAAACACTTAAAACAGTGTATATTATTTCTTTCTCTTCAAAATTTCAATTTACCTTATTAAATCCCAGTTCTGTACGTTCTTTAAAGTAATAACATTTCTACCTGTGTATGGTCTTTTCTCAAGCATCTCAAACATGCTTATAAACAAGCTTCATAAATACTCTAAGTGCATTAGGACTGCAGAAGACTTGTTCTTATCTCATTTTTGATTGATTAAATTTAGTCATTACAGAGTCAAAGTGCTACTTTTCAGGATTTGTTAATTTTTGGTTACAATCAGGTTTGCTTTCTTTTTTAATCCAATGTTGTAAAAAAAAAAAAAGGGGGGGATTCAAATTAAATGCTTCTATGTCTCTTGTATGAATGAGCTATACCGAATAGAAGTTTGCAAACAATATTCATATTCTCACCGCTTATTTGGAACGTAAAGATAAAACAGAGCTTTTCAAGAAGAAAGAAAAGCGCGGTCTTCTTGCCGGTATCTCTCTCACAACAAAAACACTTACAGCTTTGCATACGAGTGATCCGTTACTGAGCTCAACATTGCTCTCAGATTTATGCAATACTAGGTGCTCATTACAGCAGTTTTTACTACTTTCTAGAAATTAAAATATATTACCAAGCTTAATTTGGCTTTTCAGAGATGTTAATAACTATGTGACCTCTTTAAAAAGTGTAACTGCAGTAAAGGAATGTATTAGCTGCTGTATAAAAATTCATACTGCCTTGTCTAATCACTTCTCATTTAGGAGATACCAAAGACTGCTTTTATGTTAGAAAAATCGATCTAGCAGCTCTTCGTATTCAGACTTGAACGATCAAAGTTAGAGTTTTCCCTAGAAGTAATGAGTGCCGCAGTTAAATTTTTTCAGTTCTGTCTCAGTCACAGACGGGCAACAAGACGGAAAGGATGAGGAAAAGAAAAACACATACACAGGTGCTTCACATTCAAACTATTTTAGCTGCATATTGCAACTTCAGAAAGAATAAATTTCTCTCCCTTTGTAGTTGCTACAAATAGATGAAAAATATCCTGCCGAAAGGTGAAAATGCATTCCTTAACAATGTCCTCAGCTTCTACACACAGCTGATACACAAGGCCATCACTCAGAGGTCCTTCCAGCAAGATCAAGGATACATAGCGCAACGCTAAGCTCAACTCTGCTGCTGTTACCAGCTCTCGGGAACAAGCTCGCCTATTCTAACAAAGGCAGCCGGGAATACTGCTCTCCGGCGGCACTTTCGCGCACTTCCTACCACCTGTTGGCCAGCAAACACCTAATGTGTTCAAAGACACAATCTGTTAATGAAATCTCCCTTATGTGCGGTGCCACCTAAGCCTCCCACCTACTGAGAATAAGGGAAATCACCAGAACTCTACATCTCTTCCCTCACTTTTAAGGCTGTATTAGTGCATCTGCCACATTATTTTTTCTTGTAGCCTTATTCCTTCTGGTATTTGAATCCTTCTCCCCCCGTTCCACCTTCAACACAGCTCCAGCACCTACCCCCAAAACTGTTTTTCTTTCTCCTAACCTGTGAAACCACACTTCCGTTGCCTACTGGCACTGTCCCCTCTGCCCACAGCATTCCAAAAAGCAAATACAAAACAAGCAACATCTGCAAACTTGACTCTGCTGCTACTTGGAGAGACTTCAGGCAGTGACTCCAGCCACACAAGCACATTCACCACTGACGAAACAAAAATCTGCATTTTGTCCATCAGAGTCTGTTTACAAGTTAGCTTTTTTTCGATGAAGAACTGTAAAACAGCCATTGTAATTCTGTATTTTTAAACAACTGAAATTGTTTACACACCCAAAGTTATTGTATGTGTGATTAAAAAAAAGACTTCCATACGCTTTCAGTTTGTCTAGCTAATTTATTTCCCAGTATTGTATATAATTTTCACTCTTTCTCCTTGTTCAACCAGTCTGTTTTCTCTAAATATACTCATCCTTTTCATGCAGTAATAAGACTTAAAAAAAAAAAAAAAACCTTAAAATTGGGGAAAATGCAGTTAAAACACTGGCAGAAGAAGTGAGAAAGGGCATAGCAATTGCAACCAAATGGTTGTTTTTTTATTAGATTCTAAATTACCAGCTCAGCGTAGCTACTTTGGCTGCTCCTGTCCCTCTCTTCCATTGAGACTATGTACATGAAAAATCATGGAAGACTTTTTTAGACCATCTATAAAAAATATCGTACCCAAATGAGTTACTTCAATTTCCTACATTCAAATTCACTTCATTTATACATCTTATCTTTCAAGTCTTTAATCAGAACACTACATCACTATACTTTCCAAAGGAAGAATAAAGATGCTTTTAAATCTTATCGTAGAATTTGAACACCCGCAGAAAAGGCTGCCCTCCAAGCCCAGTGCGTTAGTGCCACCACTCATTTGTGGGCTTTTGATCAAAGAACGCCAGGACGACAAGTGAATCGACGCAAGTTCTTACTGGAAACTGGCCTTCACAACAGTATTTTCTATGAAATTCTGCTGTTAATATGAGAAAACTGTAGGAACTGTAAAGCAAATCTAGGAACTGTAAAGCCCATCCGAAAAGCAAAAAAAAAAAAACAGTCTAATCCTATAGTTACTGCATGAGCTAATTGAGTTATTGCTACATGAGCAAAATGGCTGTGAGAGCTAATGCCTGGAGTCCTTACAAAGATTCTGCTATATTTTCCAGAATTTTGACTCATTCATTTTTAAATTAGAATTTTACCTGTCAGGTTTGAAAGACAGCGTACGTTACGAAGGACAGCTTGTTTAGTTGAATTAATGGCCAGAAAAGCAAACATCAGCTAAAGAAGGTGTGACCTTCATTGTATCGTTATGCTTTCTTGTGTTTGCACTATTATCCCCTGTATTACATTTATTTCAGATGGTTACGTACTTCACAGCAGGCACCGCAGCTCTTTGTGTGTTTATAAAGCATTACATACATTTACCATGCGCGATAAATTATAACTATTTCTACCAAATACTAACACTATTAGCTACCTTACTGCTTGAATGACGTACACCAGACGTACCCAAGCAAGTGGACTTGTCTAGTACAGTTGGATAAACTTGTCCTGTTTTGACATCCCATTGGAAACTGCTGCCCAAATACCTGCACATTAAGAAAAGTAAAAAACATGTTCTACGAAAAGGTGCCAAGCCTTGCTTTTCTTTTGAAATCTAAAGGTACATACACAAAGGAAAGTCCAATGACAGCTTAGCTGAGGAAACAGATTAAAATATTACTCAGTGTTTATGGTTTGAGGGGGGTGTGTGTGTGTGTGTGTGCATATATTTGTGTATATATATATACATACACGTATACACATACACACAAACACTGAAGTTTCAGTCACTTAAGTTCTGCCCCAAAATTTAAGTTTCTGCAAAGCAAAACAAAACACAGAAGCAAAGGAAATATTTCAAAGAGAATACATGTTGTTGGTTCACTTGCTGTTTGTTGCTCTGCTATTGTTTTTGGAAGAAATTTTAAAACAAATGCATGCCCTCTTTCTACCAGATTTTATCCATGTCCAGCAGAATAGCTCCTTCAGCCTAACTGCAAACACGACTTGATAATCTTTTCAGTCTGATGACGTTAACAATGCCCCGTCAAAAAAAATAAAAATAACAATTTACGCCAGCATGTACAAGCATAATGCAACAGGTGGAATTTCCCAGCCTTCTCCGGGGAAGCAGCGGTTTCTTCTCACAGAGGGGACTGAGAGTCCTCCTCCTGCTGCTGCTGGTGCCCTCGCTCCCTGGAGGCGCCCAGCGGGCTCTGTAAAACCATTCCTCCCGTCTTCAACCCGGGAATAAATTTGCGAGCACAGGTAAGTAGTTTCCAACTTTTAAATCACTGGGCAACACCCTCAACCACCTACTAGCGCCCTGCCTCCGTGTCACGAGTGGGAGCAGCGCCTCGCCGCTGCAAGCGCAGGGAGAGCGGCCGTTCCACGCGCCACCAGAAACCAAGGCCAGGAAGGCACATCCGCAGCGAGGCAGAGGAGGGTTCGAGGCCATGCAGCTGGTTCCTTCAAACTCAACCTGAACGAAACACGCCGAATTTGGCACTCCTTTTAGGAGACTTCAAAGATGCCACCGCTTCGTACACCTCGCCCCGCACGCAGGCTGAGCGAGGACCGATTCAGCGTGAACCCCAGGGAAGCTGTTACTGCCCAGTGGCCGCCTAACTCGGAACAACCCCATTTCCCTTCTTTCATTTTTATTCTTTTCCCGCAGAAAAGAGCGAGCAGACACAACGATAAAACGAGCACCAGCCCTCAGGCCGCCACTCGCGGGCCAGGTGTCACCGACGAAACTACCGCGGCCGGCAGCGCCCCACAACAACGCCCC